TTAACATGTGCTCGATTGCTCGAAATTTCGTTAATTCTGCTTTGTAGTTTTTTTTATACATATATAAACGATAAATCAGTTATGGTTTAAAACATTTATGATTTTTGGTTAAAACCAAAAGGTTGAAGCATCGTTTCCCCTGGCTTCAGTCTTTCTTCAACAGTTCAGCCTGTAACTGTTTTGGAGGCGCTGTATGTATTATCGAGAAAACGCACGAAGCTTCATGACAACTGAGCATTTCGTTTATTGGTTTAATTTTTATCATATTTCATCGTCGCAGGCTTTCTGCTTGAGAGGGGTACAGTTCCGCAGTTCAAATATGTGATCTTTCATCTATCCACTTGTTTCTCCACCATCTACGAGTATATTACGAACTCACAACGTGACCCGCAGCTCCCAGTTGGCTTGATAGCTTAGTTAGAAGATTACTGCAACGGTGTCGCACAGGTCATAGGTTCTGATCCCGTCCAGGCCATAGGTTCTGATATCCTGAATTTTTTTCAGGCTTTAATTTCACAACTTCTTAAGTTGTGATTATAACTGCAATAATCAATCGTGTTCATAGAAGCAGAGTCAGTTTGTAGAGCTCCTTTAATTTAATCTGCTTGATGTTTTAAGCTAGGTTTGCTTTTTCCCTCTGTAGATTTGCTTTCATTGCTTGAAGCTAGTCTTATAATCGTTGTTTCTTTGACCGGTTTCCTTGGTAATTTACCCAGTAACTTAAACCTTCTTTCGCTTGAACAAGAAAACGTGACTGTAACACGATCCATTTACCAGGAAATTCTGATATGGTTAGGAGGGAGCTCGACATGACGGGAGGTGACATAATCTCCTGAGAAGACAAAATTACTTGCGAACCTTTGTTGATCTAAATTCTTAATTATTGTAGTAATATCTGGGTTTGTGGAAATGAAGGATTTTCCAGTGGGCAACGGGGAACAAAATGGACGGAGTCATAGTATTTTGAAACAGTGTACTCGGATCGCATTTTGTAGCGGTTTTTCCAACCTTGGAAGCTTCCTAGCCACTAGTAGAATAATAAACTATAGGTGGTTTGACGTTATGTCATTGCCGCCATGTTGGTGGACGTAAACAATAGATATCTCATTAGCTCCTTTTGTTCGTCCACCTGCCTTTGTTCCTTTCACTATTTTTACCTGTGTCTCAAGAGATTGGTTGCAAACCACCTATTATTGGATTCGGTTTTCGTGATATCCGGAATAATCAAGGTCGAGGTAAGTGTTATCAGATGAGGCCGAAGGCTGAGGCTGATAACACTAACCGAGACCTTGATTATTCCGGGTATCACAAAAACCGAATCCAATAATTGTTTTATTATACATGGTTTTAAAGAAAATAACGCCAAACGCATTATCGGGAAGCCATTCTTACTTCACTGTCCGTGAACTTGACATTGCTCCACCGGAAATCATGCATTGCGTGCGCAACCTACAGATTATTCACTAATCTGTAGTAGATACAGATTAGTGAATAATCTGTAGGTTGCGCTGTTTCCCAGAATTAACTGTGGGCGTTTAGCCAATGAGAAGACAGATGATGACTACAATGTATAATAGCTCTAATAATCTGATGCCAAACGGTGGCATCTGAAACCCGATTAAACAAAACAGTACTAATAACAACCCTCGGTCGTTTGGGCTTCACCACCTCTGGGAAATTTTTAAATGAAATGTTGCTTTAATTATTTTGATCAGAAACTAAAGGCCTAGCCAAACGAGGAGACATGTCTGGAAACTGTCTCCGTGTCGCGCGGAAACACGAAACGTAAGAATTCTTCTCAAAAGGTACCCGCGAGGGTAGGAAGTAACTTAGAGAAATACTACTATTACCATTACTATTCGACCTTCAAAGCTACTACTAGAGCTTGTCAGATCTGTACGGCTGTAATTAGTTAGATTCTAGAAGCATCCAAATAAAAGCTAATAAATGAAGCTTCATTGTGTTGAATCGTTTGCAGTCAATCAGCGGGAAACCAGTTTGTCGATCATCGAAACCGAAGGCCGAAATGCTTGTTAGACCGAATATCACGTTATTTACATTTCCTTAGAACTATATACCCCCCAAAAAAACATACCTTCCATTTTAGCGTCAGGTTAAAAAGAGATGGAAAACTTTAGATCGCGGGCTTTGGATCTAGTACAACTCCTTGAGAACTCTTGAAGTTCTTGAGCGTCCACCCCGACTGACTCACGTGAAGCTACTTGACGTAATTTGGCATCAAGCAGGGCACAATTGGTTTAAGATGCTAGGACTGGTTGAACCGCCCTAGCTTTACACTTGTTGTTCTGTTTTGGAAGTGTCAGCCAGATTATTATCTATTACTTGGCGCAAAACAATGCATCCTATTAATAAACGAGAGATTCCAGCTAGCGAAAAATTTATGAAGTACTCGAAGAGCTCGCTGCTCGCCATCTGTAATTTCCAGAGTGCTCGCTGCTCGCCATCTGTATTTTCTAAAGTGCTCGCTGCTCACAAGAAAAATTTGACAACTGCTCGTGCTCGCAAAGATAAACATACTGCTCGCATGCTCGCAAAGACCATTCGATACCCCTCGTGAGCGATCAAGGCAGAATAATAATGCAATCAGCTACAATGAAATATATGAAGTTCATATATTTTGAACTGCGGTATTAGATACATATGATGCCCGATGCTCGCAGTAGATAGCGCTATTTAAGCAATAGCGAAATTTTTTATGTATCTAATACCGCAGTTCAAAATATATGAACTTCATATATTTCATTGTATCTGATTTATCACTTTCACGGGTTTATTACGAATCAACTTAACGGCCTGCTCCCAGTTGGCTTGTTAGCTCAATTGGTAGAGCGCTGCACTAGTATCGCAGAGGTCAGTGGTTCGAATCCCGTACAGGCCTGATTTTTTTCAGGTCTGATTTTCGCTATTGCTTAAATAGCGCTATCTACTGCGAGGATCGTGCATCATATGATTATNGCTAATTCCTTTTTGTCGTGTGGCTCCTGGATATTTTTCTCTTTAAGGTATTCGTAGAACAGTTCCTTCGCCACTTTTGTCGATCTTTTAGTATTTTCCGAATCTTTATCTTCAAGTAATTTCTCAATTTCTCGCTGGGTCGATGAAGCGAATCGAGAAGCCATTCTTACTTCGCTGTCCGTGAACTTGACATTGCTCCACCGGAAATCATGCATTGCGTGCGCAACCTACAGATTATTCACTAATCTGTAGTAGTGAATAATTCTGGGAAACAACGCAACCTACAGATTAGTGAATAATCTGCAGGTTGCGTTGTTTCCCAGAATTAACTGTGGGCGTTTAGCCAATGAGAAGACAGATGGTGACTACAATGTATCATAGCTATAATAATCTGCTGTCAAACGGTGGCATATGAAACCCGATTAAACAAAACAGTACTAATAACAACCCCCCCAAAAAACATACCTTCCATTTTAGCGTCAGGTTAGAAAGAGATGGAAAACTTTAGATCGGGTGCTTTGGATCTAGTACAACTCCTTGAGAGCTCTTGAAGTTCTTGAGCGTCCACCCCGACTGACTCACGTGAAGCTACTTGACGTAATTTGGCATCAAGCAGGGCACAATTGGTTTACGAACTGCCCTAGCTTTACACTTATTGTTCTGTTTTGGAAGTGTCAGCCAGATTATTATCTATTACTTGGCGCAAAACAACGCATCCTATTAATAAACGAGAGATTCCAGCTAGCGGAAAATTTATGAAGTCAAAGTGCTCGCTGCTCACAAGAAAAATTTGACAACTGCTCGTGCTCGCAAAGATAAATATACTGCTCGCATGCTCGCAAAGACCATTCGATACCCCTCATGAGCGATCAAGACAGAGTAATAATGCAATATCAAGTAGACAAGTGAAGAGAGTTAGGAAAATATTGGTTAGGGGATAGTTAGTTGATACAATACCAATTTGTCTGAACTTACATCATGAGAATTGTATAACAAACAGTAAGGAAAATAACTAATGAGATCTCGGGAGTGAAAGGGTTCATTGATGCCGTAATGAAGGCACATGCACAGGGCAGTCAGGGAAAGTGGATAGCAGCTAAATTATTTTTCCAATCACATCAATTAGGATGACGAATGTATGTACTCAGAAATCGCATGGAAACCAATCGCAGTACTGGCAATAGTCAAGAGTAATCATTGAAAGGAAATATATACAGACCTGTGACACCGTTACGTGTCCTCTGCTGCTTGGGGATGGCAACCCTCCGGGAAACGAACACTTGACTGCCTCCGGTGATGGCCAGAAATTCTTTGAAATAAATTTATAAGGGTTTAAATCTCCATTTAGCGCTTGCTTCTCCGAGAAGATCACTTTACTAACGCCACGAGCGTAAAACTCTTCAGCTGCTGCAATCCAAGATTGCTGAAACAAATCTACCGGAATATGATCAGCAGTCTTAAAACGCACGAACTGTACGACTTCGTCTCTTGATTCATCATTAAAAGACATTTCCAACATCTACTGGTTATGGTAAACAAGTGAACTGATTTTACAGTTATTTTTGGATTGTCTACGTTAGTCACTGCGGTTTAATTAGACAAAACAAACCTCTAATTGTGGCATTACGGCTCTACAAGATAAGCAAGTATCTGAAAATTAAACTCTTTGTCCATACCTTTATTAGGAGATCTCGCATTAAAATTGTATTTAAAGCCTTCTCTTTCCTCTTCTGCATAAAGCATGAGATAACTTACCGCTAAAATGTAGAGAAAAGGTCACAAAGATCGATATTGTATTTCGTCGAGTCAGGTCTGAAGTCGGCCATCTTCTCTCCCCAATCCCCATTGACCGCCAAAGAGTACTCACACACCAGAAAAGAGTGATACTAGGGTCAATGGTGCGAATTCAAAATGGCGGACGCGAACACAAGTTTGAAACGAAAGCATTCTAAAGCGTTTTATGTCGGAAATAAGAAGAAGGTTTGTTTTTTTGTTTTTTTGTTTTTTTGTTTTTGTAACCTTTTACATTTTTAGTTGATTAATTCTGTCGTAAACTGATTTTCTCTGCATATTTTGCTAGAAAAGAGGACAAGAGCTGCTAGTTCCCGGAATGAAAGGTGTCCTTGTCACGTGTAACGAAAGAGAGAATTTGTGTGTACGAGAAGCTTACAACGTCCTTAATGAAGTAAGAACTTAACTTTCGGCTGCTAAGGTTTTACTTAACCAACAATAATAATAAAGACTTATTTAATCGTTGATATCAACATTCCAAATTCCTATTCGACCTGGAAACAGGGGACAAGAAGAGCAACCTCGTGGAATCATATCTCCATCACTAAATTTCCATGTTTCCCGTTATTATTAAACTATATAACTGAACCTTTTTTATTTGCAATTTCCAAGGACTAAGACAGCCGTCTTGCCATCCTCCCCAACCTCTCCCCCTATGTTGAAAGTTGTTGCGCTTGTACCCTGTTTGTGCTATAAATTATATCCAAGCGTTCTTGTTCACAAGTGACAATTCATGAAAGATTTGATCAGAGTTATGGTCAAGTCTATATATAGGGCTAAATATTCCAAAATACATTCTTGGAACAGTCCAGTATTAGAGCCTGGTGCTGAATATCTGGTACAGCTTTCGTCATTCTTCCTCTGAGGTTTTATCTTCCTTCACACCAGTGACTGTTTTCCCCTTGTTTTTTTCATTTTCACGTGTTAGTTTAAATTTTTTACACCTAAGATCTGATGGGAAGATCTACCTGCAAATGACAGTAAATATATATATCTATATGTACAAATACTGAAAGTGCACCTAAACCCCAAATTTTTTTCTGGCTTAACAAAATAATCGTATTTTTTGGAGTATTTCTGTGCAAATTTTTTTTTATTTTCTCAAATCTTCAATTTTCTGTGCCCAGTCAAAATATGCAAAATCGGCCTCCATCTTAGCTCACAACCGAGTTTAAAGAGGAATGGTTCTAGCAGGTAATGTGACGTCAAATCGAGAACATGAAAGTCTGCTTTTCACACGTTTTCACTTGTTTGGGAAGGTTGTCGTTAATATTGTCCGAAATAATTATGCCGACTAGGTGCGTTGTATGAGGAATGTTTGAAGTACGATACCCTCTTGCAAATTTTGCACATTGCTACATCCTCCCACAACACACTTAGTCGGCATATTTTCAGACAATATCAACTACAACATTCTCAAACAAGTGAAAATGTGTGAAATGCAGACTTTCGTGTTCTCGATTTGATGTCACATTACCTGCTAGAACCATTCCTCTTTAAACTCAGTTGTGAGCCAAGATGGGGGCCGATTTTCTGTACTTTGACTGGGCACAGAAAATTGAAGATATGAGCAAATAAAAAATATTTTGCACAGAAAATGCTCCAAAAAATACGCTTATTTCGTTAAGTGAAAAAAATTTTGGGGTTTAGGTGCACTTTAAAAACCCTATCTTTGAGTCTCTGAGTCAGCTCTATACTCGTGAGGCGATATAATTGGTGAGGCGATATAATTGCTGCTACATATTAATTATTTTTGCTGCCAGTAGCTTTTACATGGAGGTAATGCCTATGTGATCAAGATGATGATTTTTATTGCTCATGTTTCTATTTACGTGTTTACTCCACACTATGATTTCAATACAGTCATCATTAATTTTAACCTTAATTGAACTTTAAGTTCATCAAAATGGACTGATCTATTGTTGTTGTCTCTCTCTGGGGTTAAGTATGCAGACAAGCTCTATGGCGCTGAGCACAGCTTGCAAGAAGATGACTCTGTTAATGACAGTGATTCTGAAGATATTGAAGATGCTCTTGCCAAAGAAGTAAAGCAACTTCAGGAAAGCAAAACAGAAAAAAGATTCCAGGCTGTTTTGACTGGAGCTGTGAATGTTATCTTTATCAAAACAAATCTTCCTGATTGTAAGGACCCCACAGATTTAGTTCATACAGTTTTAAATGACATGCTAGAAAAGGGATGCAAGAAAACCAGGTATTGATTGACATTTGAGATTGGCAGTGTTATTTTTTGTAGAGGGGCATTTTAAAGATTATTATATACTGACTTACTGTTTGTTGAGGTTTTTGGAGGATTATTTTCAAAGGGCTTTTCAGTAAACCACTTTCAAACATTGTTGGTTCTGGTTATCATAACATAAATTCAGTTGTCAAAGTGATTTTTCACAATCATTATGAACCCTTTTCACTCTAACATCAATGTCCATATCTCCAAACTCTTCTCCATATATTCCCTCTGGTACTCAATGGAGAATTTGTTTAACAATCAAAGCTTCTTCCGTTGGCGATCATTTCTTGAGTACTCTCATGATCTACATGAATGATTCAGCAGTATTTCTGTGACAAGAAATGAGATCCTGATTACTCTTTGGGTTTAAGGCGTTAATAGTTTTATTGCCGTTGTCAATGTTGTTATATTTTATTGCTGTTGTCATTTTGATCTGTTCAGGCATTGTCAAAGGTTTTTGCCAATATCAGGGTCCTGTCATGCTAATAAGGAAGAAATGAAGAAACTTGCTGAGCAACTGTTCCAATCAACATTCTTTGCTGAAGATGCAAAACCATCCACGGTATGAAGGAAAATAAGGGTACCATGAGATCAAAATTGATGCCTGTTGCTTTAAGTAAAAAAATCCTGCATCCCTGTTAAGAGCCAGTAACTGGTTATTTTTAGCAGTTGTTCAAGTAAATGTTACTGGCTATTTCAAGGAATCCCAGAACTGAAATATTTACCAAAGTTATCCAACAATTTTTTTCAGTTTTTTGGAAAAATATTACTTGCCTCCTTCCAACCAATGTTTTGAAGATATCTATCACATGTTAGCAGTTTGAAAATACATCATATGTTGAGGAAATCCTGAAATCCTCACAGTCACCTCATAACAGACTCTCTGCCCTATAGAGGGTTAAATTTCATTGTATTGAATTGCAGTTCAGTGTGATGTACAAATCCAGAAACAACAGTAGTATTCACAGAGATGATACCATCTCTGCATTAGCAAGTATTGTAATGAATGCTGGGAAGGGACACACTGTGAACCTGAATAATCCAGACTTGGCAATCTGTGTGGAGATCATGAAGGTAAAATACATACATACTAAATATTTTTGTGGATTTTTGAACACATTGACAGCTGAAATGTCCCAAACTATCCCTAAGGAATGTTGTACTTTATGAGGGGAGAAGAATACTCTAGAAACCATTGTTCTCCACTTTTGAAAACTGTGCTTGAAAATTTACTTCCCAACAATATTTGGGTTTCCAGAAAGTTGCTTTTTAGAATTTCTAAAATTTTCCCCAGTCTTGTAATAATTTTTAGTTCAAGCGCCAACGAGACCATGGCTGGAATTGCATGGGTTTGTTTGTAATCCTACCTCAATGGTAGGACCCTTGTTGCTTTGATTGTGGAAAAACAGGACCATAAGTAATCATTGCCTCTCTGTGTTGCTTGTAATTGTACAAAACATCGACGATAGAGCACTAATACTTCTAGTTGCCTCTTGCTTTGAAACTGGGATATAAGCTCACACTGGATGTGGCACTTCTCTCTACTAAGAGAAAACATAGCCCTGTGTTTTTTTTCTCATTTTATTTATAAGATATATTTATCCAGCAGACAAGTAATGAAAATATTCAAACTATCTGGGAAAAAAATGTTGTGTTGATCTAACACCAAATTCTCTTAACTAGTTCACAAGGAAATGTCTAGCAGTTAGAGGGGAGAATTAGCAATCAGATCTTGGGAGTTAAGAGTTACGTACAAAGTAAATGGAATATTGCAAGAAGACTCAGTATTCACTTTGAATTACTTTTGACTTTTTTCTCTTGACAGAGTTAGGTGATTAAAAATATTGCCGTTTTAATTTCCTCTAGAATGTCTGCTGCATGAGTGTGGTTAAAGATTTTATGAAGTTGAGAAAATACAACATTCATGAGGTGAATGAGAAAATCTTCCAGTCTCAAAAGACAGATAACAAGGACACTGAAAAGGTGAAAGACATTAACCAAACCATTGTGAAAAGTGATTGCAATGATGCTGGAAGTGGTGCAAAAAGTGATGGCAGTGATGCTGGTAGTGGTGCAAAAAGTGATTGCAATGATGCTGGTAGTGGTGCAAAAAGTGATTGCAATGATGCTGGTAGTGGTGCAAAAAGTGATTGCAATGATGCTGGTGGTGTTGCAAGAAGTGATGCTGGTAGTGGTGCAAAAAGTGATTGCAGTGATGCTGGTAGTGGTGCAAAAAGTTATTGCAATGATGCTGGTAGTGGTGCAAAAAGTGATTGCAATGATGCTGGTTGTGTTGCAAAAAGTGATTGCAATGATGCTGGTAGTGGTGCAAAAAGTGATTGCAATGATGCTGGTAGTGGTGTAAAAAGTGATTGCAATGATGCTGGTAGTGGTACTAAAAATGATAGTAGTAATGCAGATAGTGATATGAAAAGTAATGGCAAGAATGCTGATAGGGCTACAATTGATGATTCAACCTCTGGAAATACAGATACCTGAAATGATATCAAAGTAACTATGTCAGCTGAAGGTAACACTTATTATGGCAAGATTGGATTAGGTCTGGGAAAGGTTAAAAATTCTGCCCACTGAATTTGGAGCATAATTTACCAGCCCTTGCTTCGGGATTCACTTTGGGATCTTCCAAACTGTGCTGATATTCAAAACAAATCAAAGATACACTGTGATGACAGTGAGATTTATGTTTTGTGTCACAGGAAAAAGTCGAATGCACTTCTAAGAGGATGGAAAACGGTTTATATGTGATTAAGTTGAAAATTGATCTGTGATGCATGAATTTTACAGAAAGGTGAGCATGATTTATAAATTTATTACATCCATTTTGAAATCACAGGTGATTCCTATAATCTGATTGGCTCTCATTGGTTCTATTTATTCAACGAATTGCACCATTTTTTTATCTAAATTGCATCATTTTCCCAGCCAATGAGGAAGCTTGACTAAAACCAATTGCTTGTTTAAAGAAATCATTCAAATTGCCTGGAAATGAAAGACAACTTTTGCAACTTTCTACAAACCAGCTCACTCCTAGATCAACAAAACATTCGTACAGACTAAAAAATCCTGTACCTGAGCAACTGAATTTTGGAATTTAAAAATGGATTTAATAAAGTGGTGGTTGAACTTCAAGTCGTGTAATGTTGGTCTGAAATCATACTTGGGATTTCAAAATAGAAATATTTAAACTTTTGTACATCAAATGAGGGTAGCCAAAAATCAAATCAAACTCATGCTGGGCACCCTGTCAATTTTGAAATCATGCATATGATTGTAGACCAAATTGCACCCATTATTGAAGGCATGATTTGCTTCATTTTGTGAAAACCTCAAGATTTCCTTGAAACCTCACACAGAAGAAGAGAGAAATTAAGTTTCCCCTTTATATATATGTCTTAACCAAGCACAAGGGCCATACTGGGAGAATATTGGCCCGAGGTCTTGACAGTT